TCCTCCTCCTCCTCCACTTCCTTTTCCTTCTCCTCCACCTCCTTTTCCTTCTCTTCCTCCACTTCCTTCACTGCCTTCTCCTCCATTTCTTCTTCCTCCTCCTACTCCATCTACCCTTCCTCTTCCTTCTCCTCCTCCACTTACCCTTCCTCCTCCTCCTTCATTTTCTCTCCCTCCTCCTTCACTTCCCTTTCCGTCTCCTTTTCCCTTTCCTCCTTGCTCCCTCTTTCTCCTTCTCCTCCTCCACTTCCTCCTTCCCCTTCTCCTCAACGTCCCCTAACTACTCCTCTTCCTCTCACCTCCTTTCTTTTTCGCCCCCCCCCTCTTCTTCCTACTTGCCCTCTCTTCCTCTTCCACCTGTCTCGTATTTCCTCCCTCCCTCCTCTCCCATATTCTCCCTCTCCCTTTTCCCCTTTCTCCCTCTTTCTCTTCCTCGTGCCATATTCTCCCTCTCTCCCTTTTTCCCTTTACCCTCTTTCTTCCTCCTGACATATTCTCCCTCTCTCCCTTCCTCTCACCATATTCTCCCTCTCCCTCTTTCCCTTCCACCCTTCCTCTTCTTTCTCGCTCTCTCTCCTCTGCCCTCCCTCTCCACCTCCTCCTCCGCCCTCTCCCTCTCCTCCTCATCCTGCCTCTTCTCCTCTTCCCTTCCTCCCTCCTCTCCTCTTTCCCTCCCCCCTCCCTCTTTCCCTTCTTTCCTCTCCTTTCCCTTCCTCCCTCTCTCCCTCTCCCTCCTCCTCTCTCCCTCTTTCCCTTCCTCCCCTCTCCCTCTTTCCCTCCCTCCCTCTTCCCTCTTCTCCCTTCCTCCCTCTCTCCTCTCCCTTCCTCCCTCTCCTCTCCCTCCCTCCTCCCTTCCTCCCTCTTTCCTCTTTCCTCCCTCCTCTCCCTCTCTCCCTGCCTCCCTCTCTCCTGAACACCCAATATCAAATTAAAAAAAAATCATTCTCCCCCCCCCCTCAGGACCCTTTGCCTGCCGGGGCGTGGGAGGGCGTGAGGAACGGCTCCGTCGCCCCGCCCGCGTGTCCGCAGCCGTTCTACCCGTTGAAGACCAGCGAAGACTGCCTGTTTCTCAATGTGTTTACACCTCGGGTAAGTCCTGGTCCTCGGGTGAAAGCTCGCAGGCTGATGCTACAGCTGCTGTTTGTTATTGTAGTTGTTGTTGTTTTCCATCAAAATGTTTCAAAATGTACTGTGATCGTAATGGGTAATGGTGCTTTATATTTGATGAAGGTTTTATTTAGTTTATAGCATACCACGTTACAGGTGTCACCAGCATTACGGTTGATATTAGTTCCAAGCTGTTCATTTATCAGAGTTATACTCCAAGTAGTCACTTTTTCCCGGTTATTTCTATCGAAACCTTAATGTACAGTCCTCTGCATCTTCCTTTCAGTTTCCCAGTTAATATGGACCTTGTTTTGCAGTCTTACAAACTAGACTACCGAACTATGGGGTGGTTTCTCCCCCATGGAATATTTGGTATTCATAACGACCTCTTTTACAGGCCTACAAGTCGGACCTCCCCGTCATGGTGTGGTTTTTACCCGGAGCTTTTGTGGTGGGTAGCATGGAGATTTACCGACCAGAGTACTTGGTTGCTAAGGACGTGGTATATGTCACCGTTCAGAGCCGTCTCGGAATCCTGGGTCTGTAGATGTTCTTTCTTTTGTGTACGTTTATTGGGCATTCATTTGTTTTACATTAACATTATTCTTATCTATTCATTTAATCCAATATTTGCTGTAATTGCTATTCTCCATTCTGAAATTTGTAGTCTTCCAAAGCCCTGTTTGTACACACACTACCAGTCAACTTTGTGGCGGTGCAGGAAGATTATAGTGTTACGTAATAAGGCGGCAAGAGGTTTATTTCGTCGAAGTGACTTCATCGAGGGGGGGAGGGGCTATTTCGCGTCACATGGCGTAATCTGCGATCCTTAAAGTCGATGGCTTACATACAGGAACCCTTAAAGTCTTTGGCTTACATACAGGAACCCTTAAAGTCTTTGGCTTACATGCAGGAACCCTTAAAGTCTTTGTGTTACATAAAGGAACCCTTAAAGTCTGTCTTATCTTTTGATACAAGTCTTAATACTTTTTGTGGTTTGTACCGGTTGGCGCCAGTACGCTATCCATAATCATAACTGCAAAGATGAGAGCCATTTGATGTAGGGACTTATTTGGACTTTATCGGGAGCCACAGAGTAGGAAATGTGGCACTGCAGATGTAGGCTTTTGTTGCGTGTAGCTTTAGGGACGGAGTTCGGTAAAGCGACGAAGATCAGGACTAGCAGGAGTAATGAAAAGATCCTAGACTATAGCAAGAGGAGTGGCGTGAGATGATCAGTCCCTTATCAGTTATAGTGAAATGAGATGATCAGTCCCTTATCAGCTGTCGTGACAGGAGATGATCAGTCCTTTATCAGCTGGAGTGAAGTGGGATTATCAGGACTTGTATTTCGCGACTTTTAACAGCAGCTTGACTGTGCAAGCTTGGAAAGGGTGGGATCTCTACCCAACAGAGAAAAAAACTTTGATTACGAAAATATTAGTTCGTAGATGTATCGAGTAACAACTCTAGCGAACCAATCTGTCGTAGGTCTGCATTTTTCCATACCTCTTTTTAGGACCTAAACCTCATCTAGAAGGAATTTTGAAAAAGTCCCGAATTATCGATGCCATTAATTTCAACAGGAAAGTATGCAATCACAAGAGGGATAAGAGGGGTGATTTTCGAAAGGCAATGAGCCAATACCAGAGAGATACACAGAACGGTATACTTGGGGACGTTGCAGTGTGCAGATTTGGGGTAAATGAAGACATTCAATAACCGGCAAATATTCTTTTCAGTGCCATTTTTGTTCTTGTTTAATAGGCTATATGACAGATCCAGAACAATACAGTATAATCGTAGACATGCGTGTGTGCGTGTTTGTGTGCGTACATACAGTTTATTGGGTAACATTTTTTTATGAATGCCCATATATGGAAGAACTAGACCAATCAGAATCTATTAAATGCATCAAATGTACATGTTCATCATCAACAAGTGACGTAGAGGTTACTATAAAATATACTTTACTGTTTTTATATAATCTTTGAAAGCAAGATGCCTCTGCTTTATATATGAGGTATATTCCATATTTAACCAATAGTTTTCATATATGCGTAACACATTTCACACAAAGCCTATACTCCGTATCCTCAACTCACGTATGTTTTAGGCACCATAACAAGCACTTGGATTATTTGGTTGAATAAAAAATAAATTGTTTAAATCAAGTTCTAAACATTATTTCTCTCATGACGCGAGTGTGAGTGAAATTCTGTCGATTTGCAAAGTATGCAAATGTGCGAACAGGAAATTAACGCATCCTTCTCATTCTTTTTGTAATACAAGATACTTTTCTTCTGTAGGATACCTTTCGACTGGGGACTCTGAGCTCCCGGGCAATCTAGGGCTGAAGGACCAGACATTGGCCCTCAAGTGGGTTCAGGACAACATTCATGCCCTTGGCGGTGACCCAGACAAGGTCACCATCTTTGGACAGAACGCGGGAGGCGCGTCGGTGCACTACCACATTTTGTCTCCAATGTCGAAAGGTAGAATGGAAATTTTTATTTTTTACCGAATAGAGTTACATAAATGTTCTTAGAGATGAATGGTAAAGATAATGCAACTGCTTCTCTCTACAGTTTCAGTTTATTTCACTGATATCTGGAAAAGCGTGATGAAGCAAGACCACATTTAGCAGTTTTATAAGGAAACTTTTCCATCTCGTCTCATTGTAAAAACTACATCGTTGTATTCTATTGACCGGCCATAGGTTTGTTCAAGCGAGCCATCATGCAGTCAGGAACAGCTCTGTGCTCTTGGTCAGTTCGGGAGGACCATAGGTACATGGCAGGTCAGATCGGTAGCATCTTGGACTGTCCTGGAGCGACAGAGAATCCGAATTCTTCAGACCTTGTTGACTGCCTGAAGAAGGTCCCTGCTGATCAGCTGACCGCTGCGCTTCTCAAAATGGTAGGCTTTGATTATGATAAATTTTTTTGATTTTTGTTTTCTCTTCATGTTATTTGATCCCGACCATCTCCCACTGGGGTCTCATTAGGCAAAAGGCGAAGGACTATTTCCTATTCTTGTCTTTGATCAAAACCTAGTGAAGTTCTAATCGTTAGGTGCAAGTTGACAGTAAGATATCTGAAGATTACAGGCATTTTTCTTTTTTTTCATGGAATTTCTTGGTCAGATACTTGATTTGCCTTTGTTACCAATCCAATAATTTTCAAACTGCCTCCAGAGGAAGCTTGCTTGTTTCACGATGTCACAGTGATAGTAATCCCCAAAATGGCTGATAGAAATTACTATTTACAATGAAATTCTGATAATTTTCCTAATTTGTGGACAGCAAATGATATAAACTTCCAAGTTGTGATCATATTTCTGCTGACCAGAAGTATAGATGGAGTATATCAAATATTTTGTAATTTACTAAAGATATATGAACCTGCTTTTGATACTGACTACTCGATAAATTCATCCCCATTCTCAAACCCAGCCGTTGAAGTAAAAAGAAAAAGAAAAAAAAAGTCATAGATCCCTCTTTTATCGCTCATCCACAAGCATGGTCTTTTTCTTTTATTGCTAAACCCAGTTATTAGAGTAAAAAAAAAAAACCTAATCCCAAAATCTTTGCCCAACTCCAAGCCAACCCCCTACGTGATGGGCCCCCGCGTGGACGGAGAGTTCCTCCCGGACCATCCCGCCACGCTGGTCAGGGAAGGCCGCTACAACCGTGTCGACATCATCGCCGGCAAGACACGAGACGAAGGCGCGCTCAATGTCCGAAGTAAGTGGGTCAGCGTCTTTCATGGTATCTGCAGGAACGTTAATTGTTCTAGCCATATGCGTTTAGTTACTCCTGTCATATATCTTGGGATGATGTGGCGATTTTGAGTGATATGACCAGTTTAACCTTCAAAATCTTGATAGTTTCATTCTTCCAGCGTTCTTGAAAGATGGCGTAGTGGACGCTATGATAAAGAGCTTCGGCACAATAGGCCCCTATATGATGGGATTAAATGTTTGGGACGACAACATTGACTTCATTGGCCGCCTCATCTTCCACCGTTACATGGGTCCCATTGAGTTTGACATGAGCAAGGTCCACACCCTGGTCAAGGTAAGACGCCGGGAGACAGGACCATTTTTGCATTTTTCGGTTCGTGAGAGTTTCATATTAGTTTTCTTCTCAATCAGTGAAGAGTATCTGAGCTGTTTGTGTTTGCATGCAGGATGGTTCTGGGATTAGCAACAGGTGTTCTCTTGGAGAATATTGCACTTTCATTATTTTCTTGGTAAAAAAAAAAAAAAAAAAAAATTAAGCAACACCGTCACCTATTTTTTCTGATATGTGGAAAACAGAGGGAGTTAGCAATAGAATAATGAAGGTTGAAGGTGTTTTTTCGAGATCAGTACATAGGCCTAATATCATTCTTGTTCATCCCAAGCTCATTGGTGACTGTTACTTCAATATGTGCACCATGGATGCTATAGAAAACCATGCAAGAGATACTGCCTTTGGCAACCGAGTCTACGCCTACGAGTTGCAGCATCGTGGACAACATACCTTCACTGACCTTTACATGGGACCTACACCTGATTGGATATTGAATGGTACAGGCTTGTAATGTTAATTACTCGTGTTGATATCATAATAATTATTAATTTTATTGGCAAGTACATGTGAGTGTGTGTGTGTATGTATATATATGTAGAAAAGGTATGAATGAGACTGGATATCTTCACAATACAAGAGATGTATTTGACTGGTTTTGATTACATCTTCATCAGAAATACATGTATTTGTCATGTATTTCTGATGAAGACGTAATCGAAACCGGTCAAATACATCTCTTGTAATGTGAAGATATCCAGTCTTATTCATACCTTTTCTACATTTGTCAACATGGATACGTTTCATATATATATATATATATATATTGTGATGACCTGAGAAAACAACCTTGATTGATATAGCGAATTCATCGTAAAAGTACATTTTGTCCCTTTCCATAATAACCATCACCACCACAGATGTAAGCCACATGGACGATTTGCAGTACCTGTTCGACTTTAAATATCTCAACATCAGTCTGAGTAAGGAAGAGGATTTCTTCGTATCTCGGATCATGGTAGACCTCTGGACCAACTTTGCCGCCACTGGGTAAGGGACGTTGACAACCTAAGCCACAACAATTACAAGAAAAACTAAATCTTATCAAGAACCTAATACCAATGAAACCTATTTTTAAAAAGATGTAATTAAACTTGTACCATATTATGGTTGTGTGAATTAATTGCACATAAAGAATTTTGTTTTTAATTTGATATCTTATCTCCAGCGACCCAACGCCGGACATGTCAATGGGTTTCAAATGGACACCGACAGAGGTCTCGAAGACTTCTTATCTCGGAATCACCTCTTCCCCAACTATGAAGGTGGTCGACGATCGCCAGGTAATATAGATAACATATTCATAGGCCTTGTACATACAAACATGTTTGGAACATGTTGAAAACATTGATGAAGATATGTCTCCTTACATATTTGATGTATCTTTTTGTGAATGAAAACCTATAAACATGTTTCACGATACTGGTGTGGCTTTGTCTTTGAGAATAATATTTGAGAACAATGACTTAACATTTAGAAGAAAGATTTACTAAAGTGCTTGTTTCTTGTTTAGGAGGATGTTTGTCGTATATTTCAGACATATCACTAGCAGTGTCTCAACCAACATGTGTGCAAATCTTTACATGAACACTCCTTTTATCTTAGTGGTAATTCAGACCTAGTCAGCTGACAAGTAATAAGGATCAATATAAACATCTATCCTTTAAACTGCAAAGATTCTTTCAGATGTTGCTATATACGCGTCACACTATCTTTTTCTCAGCAACCTGAAAAGAAGTTGGCTAGTACTTTATGCCTACTTATCTTTGAAATGGTAGACGTTTTTTTTAGTTCTTTCTCCTCTATGTTACCGTCTTTTGAAGGTGACATGGCCTTCATATACTACGAGGGATTTCTATGCATGGATTAAAATTCTATCTCTTTCCCACAGGACTTAGAATTCTGGAGGAATTTACCGAAGAAGATGAACAAGTTGCTGTACCCAGAGCGTTTTCACAATTAAAACTAGGAAGCAGTAGCTGTTACCATACCACGAAGCTACCATATCAGTTATGATTGGTGTTTTGTTACTGTTATAACTGCAGTGTGGGGTATTAGGTGGTATTCTTGGTATACCAATGAATATGGACGCGGCCTTCCTCAAGACTTCATTGGAATTGACTTTTGTAGCTCTTAAATGTATCACAATACTTGTACTGTTTAAGTTCTTTTGGGAATAGCATGATCAGAAGTATTATATATTCAGTTTAAATTGTCTGTCAAGAAATAAACTGTCATTGAAACAAATGCTTGTTTTATTT